TGAAGTCAGCGTGTGTTTTCCTGTTAGTTGCAGGAAATCATAGCACATCTGGTTTTACAACCATCAGTGGAGACTTCAAGTTTGTCTACAAGTCTTAAATTCAATTTCCATTCAGTGGTCCATTAGTTTTAGCCCTATCGTTTCCCTTACTCTCATGCATGGCTGTGGAGAGCTGTATCGATCCGAAGGAATATGATGAGGGAGTTAAAATCCCCTCGTCTCTGGACTGGAGTCTGTGTATTAGTTTCCTTGGACTCTGCCGCCCTCCGGGTTCCTGTTTTCTTTAGTCTGTTTGAGGATGAAAAGACCAGAATATCAGGATAGTTCTCAGTAAATATAGTTGCCTGCAGCCAGCACAGTAAACCAATACACAGTAGACTCTAGAGACCACATGCACTTTAATGCCCACTCCACACATTTACAACAGTCAGGCGCTTGTGCTCTTCATAACTATCTTTATCATATGGAAAAAACAGTGGTCAGAATCTACACTTTCACTTATTTTCTCTTTCATCAGCCTACACGCATTAAGTCTTGTTCACACTGAGCGATTTTATCACTGGGGGTCGTCAGGTCGCTGTACTGTTGGTCTCTAGTGAGCGTTGCTACTGCTGGATGATCTAATGTTATTAGTAAGCTGAGAGTCAAGTAATTCATTCTGTTTTAACAAGGATTGATATCCTGATAACGTATAATGAACATGATGAACTGTTATCAATACACAAAAACGTGGTGAAATCACTGTAACCGAGTTCGTAGGAGGCGGGAACCGGCGAACATTCAAACTAAACTTTATAATAAAATAAACACAAAACAGCACAAACAGAACCAAAACACAAAATAAAGTCCAGGCCTGGTCCTCTCGGGATGTACCGTCCTGTAATTGCATGTGTAATTACAATTAATTTCTGTAGTTACATCTATAATTGACCCTACCCCTACCTTTTAAACCTAACCATACCACCAAACCTGTCCATAACCTCACCAGTGTCCCGCTCAATAGCAGCAAAAGTGTTTTGCAGTTCAACATGAACACAATGGTACATGGTGCCTAACAATTCATTATTTTATTATTAAGTACATAGTATTTAAAGACACCTAATATAAAGTGGGACCCTTTATTATACATATTTTGAGTAATTTAAGACATTATTAATTAAATATGGATGAAATGTTCATTGAAATACATTTTTTAAATGGATTTTTTACTAACTACTATTAATTAAGGTACCTGTGAATTAAACAATTATAAATGCTATAAACATATATTGTAGTTCACCTAACTCCACAACAAATTCTGTAAATTTAATGGTATTCATAACAGAACAGGACTGAAAAATATGAATATAAAACTAACTATATTGGCATTCATTATAAACAACATTTATTATAAATGTCAGGCTAAACAATTTAATTTAAAGTGTAACTAACACACACACATATATATTTATTGTTTTGACTTGATTTGATTTGATCTCCAGACATGTTAATGTCTCAGACACTTACAAAACAAAGAGTCATTTAATTTCATTTAGACACACTGTATGAACAACAGATGCTTAATTCTGCCATTTAAATCCACTAGTACGTTTCCTTGCGATTTCGTCTTGACAAATTCCATGTTTTTTTCAGTAATGTAACATGGAGTTCAAACAGCATGGGAGAACATCTGAAATCCGTGGAGTACAGCATCATACCGCTCTGATCGGCAAATTAATGATGCTGTCAAACTTTCAAAGAGCTTGATTCCCCAGTAAGAGATTAGAACACAGAAAATGAAGGCGGACATGGCATAGGAGATCAGGCCTGCTTTCTGATGTGCCAAAAACAACAAGCTTGTTGACGGCGGTCACGTTGTCTCTTGCACCAGCAGGGGGTTTGGATTCAGCCGTTTTGGGTTGTCATGCCGCCCAAGTAATCTCAGAGCTGTAATCTAGGCAAAGGGTGGCTGCTTTGCAGGAGCTCAAATAGAGCACATTTTTTAAAAGATTTGGTTTGGTTTTGTAATTCCCATACTCCCATTTGTTATTTCATAGTATTTTGAAATGTAGAAGAATGAGTTGTCTATACTAGTAACTGGTAACGAGCATTCTATGATTGTTTCAATTACCTCTCTAGTATGAGAGTGGAAGCTCATCCAACTCAGTCATGCTGCTTATCCAAAAGTCATCGTTCAGATTATTTTTTTCCACATGGTTGACACAGTGGACTGTTTGCCAAACCACGGCTGGTTTTAAGCAGTTGTCTAATGACATTGTCTTGATTTCAGCTGCTCTTTTCAACTCTGGAAAACACAAAACAGCACCATGAGTCCGTCCATCCAGCTGTGATGGGTCACGGAAGATGGGCTCCAGCAGACTGGCTCTCAGCACCAGATGGGCCCTCGATGATGAAAAGGGTTTTAATCTTTGGCCAGACATCACTGAAGCAGAGCACGCTCAGACGCTTTTCACTGGGCTTCACGTTGAATGCTTAAAGACATGCAAATGCATTTCAGCCGAAGATTTGGATCGCACCGTCCGTCTTTCATCCAGAATGGTGCCATAGTCCTTGAAAATGCAAATTGAGGAGCATGCCACGTATAATACCTCAGAAATCACCATAAGATAACAGGGACCGGCATACTCTGTCTTATCTGTACCCGTCTTTTTTTTCCTGAGCAATGCTCTTGGGATAGCTCACTAGCAAATGATTTCACTTTGACAGTGGTTCAATCACCAAGTCACTGTTGGTTTCGAGAAGCCATTCTACTGGACTACTATATCCAGTTGTATCGGGTGGATCACATGAGCTTCGTTGTCTGTACTCCATTGGTTTTCCCCGCATTGTGTGTAGCTGCTCATTTGCATAAACTGTACTAAACTGTAAAACCATCTTTGCACTGAAGTCATGCTGGCATTGGCATCTCACTTTAAAAATGAATGACTTCTAATTGTCTGATCTGTCTTCTAATTGTATGCGGTGTAAACACCATTTAAGGCATGGGATTGACAAGCACACTTTTAAAAAATAAATGAGGTTTTCACAACAATGCCACTGAAGAACCATTTTTGGTTCCCCAATAAAAAAATGGAAAAGAACCATTTTTTGTAAGTGTGAAGAACATCTAAAGAACCTTTTCCACTATAAAGAACATTTTGTGGAATGGAAAGATTCCACGGATGTTAAGGGCTCTTCATAGGAACCATAGATGCCGAGTGAAGTGGAACAATTCTGACAAGAAGTACTGTTCCACTGAGGAAGTGCCGTAGGTAAATTTGTGTAGCCGCTTACAATGATTTAAACCTGTCTGGTCCTATTTGCCGAAGAGTAAAGGCCTGCAAGTTTTGTGTGTTTTGGACCGTGTATGCATATTTTCATTTTTGTATTTTGTTTCTCTTGGTTCTTAATGAATATGTGCACAAATAACTGAATATATCACAGTCTGTCCTACATTCCTCTCTCTCAGTTCGTTTTAATTAAATTCTTTTGTTGAACTGTTGAAGTTACATCATACGTGATGCGACATTCTCAGTGGTTATTGCCTTTCATTTTCTGTGCTAGTTTCTGAGCTTCTTTTCATAAAAGCACGTCCAAGCCCATCAAAGATGCATCAGAAAATTCTTCCCAGAGTCCAGTTTAAGAGGGAATTATAGATTAAAGGCTCCTCCGAGCCGAGATCTAATAGCTTTGTGCCATTGCAGCAGCATGTGGGCTGGTGCTGCGCCGCTCTGGCCTTATTGGACCCGCGCACGCAGTCTTGGCATCTGGGTGTTTGTGCGACACGGCTTTGAAGTTTGCTGCTATTCCCCAAGTGGCCGCAAAACAACTTCTGATGCTTTTCCGACAGATGTGCCACGTGATGCACTTAGCAGTCTCCTCCTAGGGATGTTTGGGAGCACGAGGAGCAGACGAGGGACTGCCAACATGCCAGACTCTACCACACGCCACCGTCTGCGCTGCGAGGGTTAAACGCTTTGGGAGCACAGATTATTTGATATCATTATTATGGACATGGTGTGCTGGAGTATAAATGGCTGTTAGCGTCAATTGTGCTGTTAATTGATGACGTACACCAAATCTTTTTTAAATATTTAAAGTGTCAAATGGTGTTTAAAGAGAATATGAGAGTTGGATTCTCTATACTTCATTAATAATGTCCACCCCATACCTAAACTTAACAACTACCTTACTAACTATTAATAAGCAGCAAATTAGGAGTTTGAAGTCATAGCTAATAGTTAGTTAATAGTGAGAATTCAACCTTAAAATAAAGTCTGACTGAAATACGTCCAATTACAGAAGAGCAGTGTGAATGCAGTTTTATGTTAAGGGTCTGGTGGCTTAGAAATACGTTGTGCCCTGTTACTACTACTAGCAGTGAGTATCGCTACTTATTCTCCATAACACTGTCCATTTGTACTCAAGTTTCAACCTTCGGTCAGTGTGTCAGACGGTTCTTGACTCTCAGAACGAGGTCTCTGACAGGTCTGTCAAGGGCTAATTGCTGTGGTAATGCCTTTGATTCCTTCTGTTTTTTTGTAATTCATCTACTCTTTTTCACTCTCTTTAACGTTAATGCAAAAGCACATTGGTAAGTGGTCTCAGTGACTTTTTTCATCTTCCTGAAATGAGAAATGGCAGTGGTACCTCATCCCCATGTGTAACTGACCTTTGATTTGCGCTAATTTTGCTCATTAAATCAAACCGCTGACCTTTGTGGAATGCCGAGCTTTGATGTTGAACGCTTGTGGCTCAGAGATCAGAGGCTGTGGTGTCTGTTTTCCTCTTCCTGGCTGGAATGGGCACAAATGCTCCACTTATCCTGCTTTGGCTTGTTTCGCTTATCCTCTTTCTCTCTATCCGGACTCTTCTGTCTTTTTTCACTTTGCATTTGTTTCTGTTTTACAGCCTAAATGTGTTGAATTCCCAGATTCAGTATTCCATAAACACATCATCTGTTCCATGAATGGGTGCATCTTAACGGATTTACAAATTTCGTTGTTTGTGTTTCTCACCAGACCATCTCTGATCTGGAGGTCCAGGTGCATTCTCTGAGGAAGGAGCTGTTGGCAGCCCACAGTCAGAGGAAACAGCAGCTGACGGAGTTGGGTGTGCTGCGGGAGGAGGAGCGACAGCGGGCCGCTCGGGACCAGCAAGCAGCTCTAGATCGTCTGCGGGCCGAGATGGATCAGGTGCGGCAGGACCTGGAAAGAACCCACAAGGCTGAAAGAGAGCTGGCCCAAGAGAAGGTTGGTGTGAAATGCAGGCAATGTATTTTTGGCATTCTAGGTTGCAATTCAGGTCGCTCAAGCCACCTGCACGATTTGTATAATGTGACAGGCCGGTCATCATTAGCCTTGTTCTAAACCTTATTGAGTTACTGTCTAAATAAGAAGCTCAATTTGTAGACAGCAACTTGGATGCTCTTACCCTTAACACAAAGATTCAAGTAGTACTCTTATGCAATTGATACTAACCATGGATATAAAGTATTAATGCATACATGCCGCCATCTTGGAGTGGTCAACAGGGCTTGTTTGAATAAAAGTCAGTAGTATTGCTTTTGGCTGGAAGCATATCATTGCATAATAAAATTACTGTCTGGGTGCTAATCTTCCCAACGTTTGTCATGACAATCATATTGTAGAAAACTGTATTTGGAGGTTACAACAAAAAAGGGAAGTCACAGGAATTGTGGGACAGGCATAATTTATTTCTGGCACTACCAATTATTTTCTTTTGATATTATCTATAATATGCAGGATCATCAGATGTTTATAGCAGAACAAATCCTGTGAAAATCAGTTAGAAAAGACAGGATCTGTCAAATCACTGTTATGTGTTAATTAAAGAATCTTGGCCTTTCCAACATGACAAACATGTAGATGTATTGCCATGAGCTAATGTGGTGTCTGTGCATTAATATTTACGATTCCCATGTTTCTGATGTTAGCATGTTGCTATGTTATGATCACACTAGACTTTAAGCATGCACAATTTCTTTGGATGCTGCAACCATAGATATGTATAAGTAGATGCCCTATTAGCGGCTGTTTCTGTGGGCCACTATACGTAAGCCGTCCGCCATATTGCAATGTCTGTGAACACTCAAGAGCAAGTTGCTGGTGCATCTGCACTGCAACGTTAGTTATGCACATTTATATATGCGTTACACGTATTTATATATTCAGTAGACTTCAGAAGATGCTTTTGCTAAACTAACACAATACAACAAGACAAAGCATTTAGCTAAGAAGGCATTTAAAAGGGACTTTAGTTTAAAAACCTGTAATATTGAGTTAATACATATTAAAAACACAAACCAACACATTATTACCTGTGAAACGTTAACCAGTTTCTTCAGGAATTTAATTGTATGTGTTTTTACAACCAGGTGCTGAACAAAGTTGTTGCATATTGAAACTCATTGATTGTTATTGTGAGTGACGACATAGACCGTTCCAAGATGGCGGACGCGTCAACGTATCTGGAGGTGTCGAATGTGGCATCTACTGTATACATTTCTTTGGTTTCAACGGTTTTGATATGATGGCATGCATCTTTTTAAAAACTTAAATTCAACTCATAACAAATAAGAATAAATCCAAAAATCTACTACACTTTCCTCCAGAACTGTAGTTTTAAATTGATGTTTTTTTCGATCTTCTGTTGGTCACACGGTTTCGGTTTCACGTGATATGGAAGATTTCACCAAGTTGAACTTTGGAATGCAGCAAAATGCGAAACAACTTTGCATAAGATGCATTTCCACACTCCTGCATTCGCATGTGTTTGAATGGAAGTCAATGAAATGAAATCAGTAAGTTTTTTCAGACTCAAATCTCATTCAGTTCAAATATTGGGATGTGAGAATGATGGTAGAGAAGAAGATTTTGAGAAAATTATTTCAGAAGACTATGAATATAGAGCGTGGACTTTTTTGGGGGTGTTTATAGAACTGTTCTGATTCTCCAGTATGATTGCTATGTCTATGTAAGTTACTCAGTGTTAACGTCACACTTCACACGTTCCACAATCAATTTCCAAAAGCCAGGATTGCTTGTATATGATCAGACTCTGTTTCTGGAGAAAAAAATTAATGAATTAATCACATGCACCTGTTGAGCACGCAACAAATAAAGTTAAACTTATAAACAGATGTATGAATACACAAGACTAGCATCTCACCTATTCACGTGTGTATACACAAACGCTTTCGTACATGTTCATTGATGGGCTGTGTTGGCTTGAACTGCAGCGCTGAGGGAATAGATCACTTAGTATTTAATTAAGCACATTAGCCCCTCTTTGCCCCAGCTCTATAAAGGTTGAACAAGCAGACTTGGGCGACTATACCGGAAATCCTGCATCCTTTCAGTTTTTAAAGCTCTTGATTCCAGCCGCGGAAACGAGGGCTGGAAAGCGGCTGTAATCCAGCACAGGTTGGCCAGGAACCGGCTAAAGGTGGTATTGATCAGAGGGTAATCCTGATTAGGCCCATCAAAGTGATTAGTTTTCATTAAACTCGTGCACCGCTGCTGACTGCACCCTCCCCCAGGACATCTGCGGCACATTAGCGTGCCATTTGGCCTCTTCATAAATCCTGGGCCTACATTTTGGAACCATATGTGAGTACATTGCTGCACATAAATCCCATCTGAAGAGAATTCCGCCTCGCTTTCCCACTCTCAGGCTGACACGTAAGGCTTGTTTACAAAATCAGTCTCTGTTTCTGCCACCCCTCATCTGATACTCATCCTGACCTGCGGCTGAAAACTTCCTCTGAAGAGACTTCAACAAAGTCTGTCTCTGAGACTGATTGACACACTTCAAACTAGTGCTGCCAAAGTTAATGTGTTATCATGTTTTAACACTAACATTTTATTCAGTTAACACATTCATCATTTGATGAAAAATAAGACTTGTTGGCAAATCAGAAGACCACAGAGGCGGGGCAAGCATTGCAAGTTTTTGTTTACAGTAGCAAGTTGCCGTGCCAAATGTTTTATTTGAATGCAACATGACGGAGGAGGCATTCTACTCTGCGTTTTGTTTAAAAACCATTCCTGAGCACTGCATCTCGCATTATAGACACAAAGACGCGTTTACAGTACTAAGACCATAATAACACTTTGAAGAAGGCACCTTGTGTCTCAAAGGAAACAGTTATTAACTGACCAAATTTGCCACATAATGGTGTTGAGTCTTCAAGTTGGTGAGAACATTATCATGTATTCTGAAAATTATCATTCAGATGTAGCAAGAAAACATACGTGTGAGGTATTCAGGGATATTTCACCAAAAATAAAAATTCATTTTTCTTCTTCCAAACCCACTTACATTCTTCAGTGGACTACATAACTGGAGTGACAGTTAAACATCTCCTTTTGTGTTTCATGAAAGGCAGAAAGTCATACCGGTTTGAAACTTGAAGATGAGTAAATGATGACAATTTTCATTTTTGGGAGAACTGTCCCTTTAAGGCATTTCTCACTGAGTCATAAAGAGAAACACAACAAATGGATGCTCATATGTATTCTGCGTAAGGCATGACTCTTGTGAGGTAAGTAGTGTCATTATTACTATTACAGATGTAGATAAATATGGCATAATGAGACAGATGATGTTAGTGCTGGCCTGTGAGAGTGACCAGGCTATTATAATGCAAGGTAAAAGAGGTAAACCGGCTCTCTGATCTCTCTCTGGCCAGAGGTGCAACACCAGACTCATTCCTCCAGAGTAAAGCTGTGTTATCCTCTGAGGATTAACAAAACATCTGACTCACACACATATACATACGTCTCATTTTGCCACTGTTTCATAGCTCACCATTGCAGTCCAGTACATGAGTCATCCGTGGTGTTCGCAAAAATAAATCACTATTACTCATATTTAGAGTTAGAACAAACCTCTAGCCCTATACTAAATTTTGGCACCATTTGTGCTACAAACATAAATTATTTCTTAATTGATTCTTTTTTTATGCTATCAGACATATGATTTTTATCTGGTGGACAATAAAATGGACAGAAAAATCTCAATAAGTCCCCTGCATTTGAAGTGCATAGCCTTTTGATGTGATAGTTGGTAAAAAGATATCGAATAGTAGGTTTAGGCTCTTTTTGTTAAGGCTAGTAGGCAACCACGCAAAACACCTTAGCATCCTATCATTGTGAAGACAAGAAAGCACAACTGCACTGACATTCTCTTCAGAAAATGTAAAAACTAGTTTCTCCTTGTTGCATGATAGTAGAAACGTTACTAAGATAAATCCTATTGGTTTCACAGATTATTAGCCAGAATGCTTTAAATGCAGCTAATGATTTAGCCTGGTACGTTATCTCTCCCCAACTGCCTCAGAGCTTCTTTTTTTTTATGTTTCAGAGGGAAAAGTTTAGCTATTTTCATTTGGAAGTTTTTAGGCTTTTAGATTTGTAGTGACTTGGCATGTTTCTAAGCTGAAATTTCTTATTCTTTTGATGGCGAGAGAAACGCTGTCCTCGGCAGTCAGCCGCTCCTGAAATGTCTAGCCAGGGTTTGAAGACAGATCCCAGAGAAAAGGGAAAGAGAAATCCATTAAATCCATGAATGGGTTTTCATGAAAGACACAGGCTTTTTGAAGGGGAGCTTGTGGAATAAAATAATAAGAAACAGAATATCAGAAGCGATAAGATCATGTGTTAGATTGTTCCAACGTCAGACGCTTAGCGAAAAGAAAGGAAGATGAAAGTGAATTTATTCCAGTCTCTGTTAACAACAGAGGTTTATCTGGCTGTGGCTAGTGTGTGCGTGTGTGTGCGTGCAGACACCAGTACCCAATCTCCATCCACCACAGAGAACCCTGGGAGCCTTGTTCCTCCAGATAAACCTGACTTCTCTCTGCAGCTCACAGCCAGTGCCTCTGATGCTCAGATGTTCTTTGTACTTTCTTCTTCTTTTAGCTTTGGAGTAACGGCTATACAAATCACTGCTTCCTGTCCTGAATTCCTACGGATTCAGCCCTTTTCATGTCTTCTCTATTTTAACGGCAGATTCCTCAACAAAATCTGCCAGTCAGAAAACGTATTAAGTTCAAAGCTGATTTTCAGATCAGCATCCCTCTTTAATCACTGCATACAGTTCGATTGGGTCCAAAGAGCGAATGTGTTTTTGTTATAATACCTCGTGCCATATATGTGAATATTAACTCATATTTTCTAGCTTGAGAAACTAAGGGTGCTTTCACGCTAGCACTTTTGGTGCGCAGGGG